CTAAACCCTAAACCCCTAAAGCTCCCAAATCCTCAACCTCTATTTTCCCTCCTGGACACCTTGAGTCTGCCCTTAGAGGAGCCCTGAAATACCAGGCAGGTCGCCTTGTCAACTTCGCTTCTTGGCTTCGAGGCGTCGGAGCGGAGGTTCCAGGGTTTCAGGACTTCAGCTTTGAATTACTTGTAATACACAGGGCTTAGTTTTAAGGTTGAGGGTTTAGGGTTGAGGGTCAGGGGCTTAAAGTTTAGGGTGAAGGATTAACCCTAAACCCCTAAACCCTAAACCCTATAGGGCTGAATATTTGGAAAGAGTAGTCCATGGGGCTCCCGGTCATAAGGTCTTACACTGGGATCGATACTATATGCGACTGTGTTGATTGTGCGATTCTCCTGTGGCTGTTGATGGCTTACTACGATGAGCCATGGAGACTATAAGCTCTCAGTTTGAGCAGTCAGAGTCTTGTTGCTGCTGTTGCTAGGCTTTGCGGAAAGCAAGAACAACAGCAAGCTTGATCGCAGGGCCCGCAAAATCAGGGAACCCCAACCATTCAAACGATCCTTGCTTGATGGGACTGAGAGAAAGTTGCAGCACAGTCATGCATTTCATCCCAGAATACTCACAAATGGCAAGACCAACGGCAAGCCTAACGAACGAAATCGTCGTGGTCGTCGTGGTGAACCGTCATCACCGTGATCAACTTGTTATCATCACCACCTTCATCGCCATCACAATATACGAGCTTTAGATTCCAGCAGGCAGTGTCGGGTACTGGTTTTCACCGCGCAGGGCAGCCAATTTCGTTCATATTTGCCTGAGCAATGGCACAGTTCTTCCCGAGAGCTTAGAAATCGCGGTTCCGAAGACTTGGACATGAGGATGGTAATCATGAAGGTAGTACTGGCGGTGATGACAGTAATGATGATGTTAGTCATGAAGTACAGGAGCAGGACGTGTCGATGTGTGGTCATGTCGCCCTTGGGACACTTGTCAAACTGTTGACCAGAAGCTCGACAACTGCGGGCATGTTGAGTTTCCAAAACATGGCTTGGGGTGTCGAGCCATTTGCACATCCCACTTACTGTTGCATTTGTGTGGAACCAATGAACCAATCATGCTAGCTGTCTTCTCAGTGTTACCGGTACCCTTGATTGAAATCATCGATTGACGAGTGCAGAAATCATAGACCTTCGGCCTAGATGCAACAAGACCGAAAAGAAAGGCCCCGGAGCTCGAGAATGCTATCTTGAAGATTCCGTCTCTCTACGGTGTGAAGATTCTCAAACCCTTAGATCATCTTTGGAGCTTTGTCTCATATGTTTCCATTGGACTGCTTGCGCAGGCGATTCCGCGCTGGCATTTCGACTGCGTCGCGGGCTTAGCCGGCTCGGTCGAGTTGCCCTTGGGGTCACAGGATGAAAGTTGCACACGCTCTAAGCATTCGACCCCACGCCCCACGCTGTGCTCAATATGCAGTTCTCAGAGCTCTGGCCCCGAAGCCTTCTGTGAACCCTAATCCCTTAAACCCCTAAACCCTAATCCCCTAAACCCTCGTCTCCTAGACCCTAGAGCCATTACCACCCATCATGGCGCTCTCACCTTGGCAGCGTGAGCCTCGGAAGCTCCGTCGCCCAGGAGAACATCTCCTCGGTGTCGTGCCGATTGACCTGCAGTGGCACGCCCCTGGCGAGGTGGACATATGTAGATATATATATATATATATATACATACATACATATACATACATATACATAGATTAAAGGGTTCCTGTAAAGGGGTCTATTCAAAAGCGTCAGGTGTGGGTCTGCACGAGCACTAGACGAAACACCTTCGAAGTTCTGAACCCTCAACCTTCAAGCCGTTAAAGCTTTGTGATAAAGCCCGGTAGCTGAGCCCTGCCCGGCTTTTTAACGACCCGTAGAGGATCCCATGAACCCGAATGAAACGTTGCAACAACCCCTCAAAACCCAATACGAATCTGCAACTATCCTCGGAAGACCTTACCGTACCGGGAGGTCTTTTTGGACCGGCTTTCGCGAGTGATCTCCTCGGTTGAGACCCGAGCATCGCAGTCGCTCGCAGCAACGCTTGAAGGTTCCTAGAAGCGTTTTGAAAGCACTCTACTGGGGTTTCAGAGTGGTTGCTAGAACTAGGGACTCTTATTTCTCTTTATAGGGGTGCTGGGGGTTGCGGCTTCAGGGTTCCATGGGGACTAGGTTCCATGGGGACTAAGGTCCTTTGAAGATCACAAGGCTTAAAACCTTGGGATCTTAAGCCAATGAAAATTCTCAACAGCAAGATGACATTATCGTTCTGTCATAAGTCATAACCCTTCCAGTTGATTATGTATAACAGTGAGCATATGCATAGCGGGTTATGTTTCTGTTGTGCGAAGAGGTTTGTTGCTGCCGGTTCTGTTGCGAGTATTTCAGAAAACAAAGCTCACACTAAAACTTTAACCCAAAAGCTCCAAAGCCCTAAACCCTAGAACCCAGAAGCCTACGCAACCCAAGCCCAAACAAGTCCCAAACCCGAAGTGTTTCTTATTTTGGTATAACCGTACTCCAAGGGATGTGTAGAGATGTTACGTGTATTTGGGTCCCAAGGGCGCGCAAGGAAGCCGTTACCCACAGAACTCCTGAAAGCCGTGAGGATTCCTTGTCTTAGCCAGCTGAGGCTATTGGAGGGCGAGCTGCCACCCGATCGAAAGGAGCCCCTGAAGCTGCAAATCTCCTTTGTGGGCCAGTAGGAATTCCTGAGGTTCCTTCCTGGGTCAGACCTTACCATAACATTATTAACGATGTCTCCTGCATTAGGGGGTTTGGGGTTCAGCGGGTTGAGGGGGGTTGAGGGATCATGGTGCGTTGTTGAGTTTAGACCTTTTTATACTTAGCACATACATTTACTGTTCAATTTGGAGGCTGAGTACTTGCTGCGCTGAGTGTAAGCTCAATCCGGGCAGCGCATCACAATAGGCGAGATCTACCAGCCGGGATGCTTACTGAAGCCGGGTACCTGGCCTGTTGCCATGAATGATGATATGTTGGCTTAGCTGCATGGAGACGCCACAGTGACCCTAATTGCACAACCAGCGAAGGCGCTTCTTCGTGGATGCGATTTCGAAGCCATGGGTTGCTGGACCTGGCTTAGTATTTTAGGATGCAGGATTAGAAAGTCGGATGTAGGGTGTTGTGGTTAAGATGCAGGGTTTCGGGGTTCGAGGTTTAGACTCTAGGTTCAATGTAGCTATGCACGCTTCGGGTTGTTTGAGCAAACTAGTGCATCAAAATACTTTCAAGCTGTCGAGCAGCAAATCACCCTGAGGTTCCACACATGTTCCGCGTCCTTCCCGCGCACACATGTAGTCTGCCTTAAGTACCACTCACCCCTAAACCCTAAGCCCTAAAGCTTAGGGTCAATGAAGACGATTGATGCGAGATGTCGATCTCTGGAAGCTCGGTTGTCGAAGTTTCTGCGGGTAGATTAGGGTTTAGGGTTTAGGGCGCCGTGTTGGTATTGAGGTGTCTTGCAGTTTGCGGTGCCTTGTAAGGGGAGTGCTGGCCATGAGAATCACGATCTCTCTATTTTGGGGTGCAGATTGGGCCCCCTTATTCTGAACATCTTGCATAAAGTTCAGACAGACACTACAATACTAGATAGCAGCATATGACCGGTTCTCTAAAACGGACCCGAAAAGAGACCCTAATCTAGAGAATTACCCATATTCTGGCATCATTGTGCGGTCTTCTCGAAGTCCTGAGCCATAACCCTAGCTTAACAACCCTTCGACTGACTAGCAAATCCGTTTTGCCCGACGGAAGTTGCGAAAGGCCTCAATCCTAGAGCTGCAAATCCTAAACCCGAAAATGCTAAACCACTAAGTCCTAAAGCTACAGATCTTTTACGCAAGAAGGTTTCCAGATGACCAAATTGGCAAACTCTCCGGGAAAGTAACAAAACAATTCAATTAATGAATTGGCTTCTTCGGGCACAGCGATAACCGCACCAGAATTAAATCACGTATTTTATTATTGTCTCAGAGTGTTTCAGGGTTGTCAGCTGTTCATCTGGGAAACTTCTTGCACAAGATCGTCCGGAGGTGTTTAGGGTTGTCGTTGTTGTCAGCGTTGTCATTTGGAAGCCTTCTTGCGGAAGAGCATCGTTTGTGCCACCACGGCAAGCTGGCCACTCCATGCCACCCCTCCGAGTCTGCGGACCATACGGAGCCAGATCTCCGAGAAGTTGATTGAGTTGGCGTCCAGGTGCGTGTCGGCGCCACACGTATGCCAAGGCACGGCACAGAAACCACCTTCGAATCCACAAGACAAGATGGTAATCGACATCGTCATCAGTGATGAGTTTGCTTGGCTGTGCATGTGTCCCATGCTGCTGTGCAAAAGTTGCTTGCAGCAAACCTGGTTTGAGAGCACGAATTGTGGGCGGTCTCATCGACGACAGAAGCAATGAAGCGTGGAGCTTGGAATATTGATTTTCTTAAGCTTGCTGAGCCGAAAAATGCTTAAAACCTTAAGCTCGAAATCCTGAACATTAAAGCCTCGTTAGGAGTTCTTGTTGAGGCACGGGGTTGGCTGAAGCTAGTGCAAGGAAGAAGCCGTGTGATGTATTATATTTGCCCATTAGGGTAACCTCGGTTGAACTGCGTTAGCACACAGACTTCAAAAAGCAGATGGAGAAGCTCATTCGGGCATCGTGTGGGGCCTGGCATCAGGTTTAGGGTCCAAAGTTTAGATTTGAAGGTTTCGGGATCACAACTTCAAGGTTTCGGTTTCAAGGTAGGGTGTAGGGCATGTAGGGCTATATCATAGGACACATAGGGTTTTGGTTCCGGGCTTAGTACCGGAGCGTTGCCGACTTACTCCGGGTGCATTTGTTCAAGTCCTGGGTTAAAGCGTTAAGCCTACTAGGCTTAAGCCCCTGCCTGTGCCCAAGACTCGCAGCGACGTCGTTGTGAACATGGAGCCTTGGCCGGATTTTTGCTGTTGCTGTTGTTGCCGGATGCTGCCGCTGCTGCTGCGGCTGCTGCCGCAAAGCACTGGTGTTTAGATTTATTAAGGTGCATCGTTTGAGAAGATGACTGGAATTTCTGGGGCCGAGGCAGTCTCAAATGCTGTAGAAGTCGGAACAATTTCAAAAGAGTAGTGCCCTCTTCTAGGGCCAACCTTGGTATTAATATCCCAGAGCCCTGTTTTGGAGACTTTGGCCCTCACATACGCTTGCGTCGTCGATATAACGCTGAGTGAGCCCGAGCCCACGACGAAGATCGAATCCCACACCCAAGATTGAAGGCCCAGTGTAAAGCATATTCTAGATCCCGAACCCCAAACCCTAAACCCTAAACCCTAAACCCGAACTCTATAGGTTCTGGCGCATCCTAAGGTCTCTACTCGACCCTGGCACCTCCCTGGGTTCAGTCTCCAACCCTGAGTCTGAAGCAACGTGACCGAGGATTTGATAGCTCGCCTCCAGTTCCCTGGCTTCTAAGACACTGGAACTGTGATTTTGCCCCTGATCTTTATCTTTTCTGGCCAGGCATTGAGACTAGGGTTGGGGGCTACGATAAGGGCTGCTGCAAGGTTAGCATAAGGGTCACCAGAACAGTTTAGGCTATGGGGTTTGGGAGCTTAGAGATCAACGTGTTGGGTCTGGCCGGTTGGAACTCCGGAGACGTATAAAGCTTTCTGAGCGAAGCTTCAGCAGCGAGGAGCGGTGGGGTGGTAGGGTTCGGAGTTTAGGGTTTAGCTTTTCGGGCATGTTGATCAATGAATCATGGTTGCTCTCTTCTCAAAGCATCCCCCCTAAACTCTGCGCCGGCCTTTCTTTCCTGCAGTCTGAAGCAAGGCCCAACTTCAAAGCTCAGCGGTCGATCTTTCAAACTAAGGCCTGCGACACACGATTTTCAGAAATACTGGGCCTGCGGTCGTAGTCATGATGAAGACGACGCGACGATAATGGACCCTTAAGCCCAGCACCGCGCGTTTACATTCATACTTCACATCTGCAGGTTCATCACTGATCAAAACACATCTTCATGATCACGGATAAGCCCTATAAGCCTAAAGCCCGAATAACCCTAAACCTTAAAACCCCCAAACCCTAAACCTCAAAAAACCCAAGCCCCAAACCCTAAACCCTACAAGCCTAAAGCCCCCCAAGAAGCCCAAGCCCCAAACCCTAAACGACCTGCAGAGAAGTTTAGCCCAAGGCAGGGCCTTCTTTCCACGGGGCGGTACGAGGAGGTCCAGAAGACGCAGGCAAGCAGGGTCTTAGTGGCTTCAGGGATTAGGGGTACAGGATTTATAAGATGTAGGGTTGACGGTTTAGAGGTTATAGGGTTTGGGGTTTTAGTGGCTTCCGGGATTAGGGTACAGGATTTAATTATAGGGTTTAAATATAGGTTGGAGTACATCCTGCACGGACCAATTCTTGGTCCTAAACCCTAAACCCTAAACCCTAAACCCTAAACACTAAACCCTAAACCCTAAACCCTAAACCTTAAACCCTAAACCCTAAACCCTAAACCCTAAACCCTAAACCCTCACGGAGATGGTTTTTTTCTCCAGGCAGAGGCCGAAGCAAAAGCCTTCAGCCTTAGGTGCTGGGCATCATACTGTTGATGGACAAAAGTCTGCATGACCCAAATATGGGAGTTTCCGAAAATTAGGGTACCTTATTTTGGGGTCCTTATAATAGGGGTACTATATTAGGGTCCCCTATTTTCAGAAACTCCCATATAGTATAGTACTATACATTCCATAGTTTAGGTATATACGGTCATGCAGGATTTTGTCCATCAACCGTATCAGTGCACTCCATTTAGATGTGCATGTGGGAAAGTGGATACGTAACGGCAGCCAGGGCAAATGCCATTTGGGCAGTCCATGCTCATACGTTACTGCCAGCTGCTCACCGGCGCTGAGCAAAACAAGCGCCTACCTGAACCCTAAACCCTGATAGAACCCTAAACCGAAAAACCCTGAATCCCAAACCCACCGTCGTGTAGTTGAAACGGTGGAATCGGAGCCAGAAGCTCAAGAGCATAAGCCTCTGCAACGCAGGTGAAAGGTGAGCCGCGACGCACTACACAGCCGCTGGGACAGAGGGCTTTAGGGTTTAATCGCGTTCAAACAAGTTGAATCCGCCGTAAGCCCTCAACACTCTGTTTAAACTAGTATCCCACGGAATTTGGCCTGTTCGGTGGCGGCATGTAGTCGCACATGTCGTTCAAGGAACGGGTTCCGACATGGCTCTTGCTCAACAGCTTATGAGTACGGCTTACGGATATGAGTTTTGCAAACTGGGGCTCAGCAAGGAATCCCCACTGCCAACACTCGGATGAGCAGTTTTGATGCAGCCGAGGAACTGGATTTCCTCGGCCAGAAGCCCAGTGATTGCCCGCTTGGTCAGCTTATGTTTCGCCTTTGTCCTCGTTGTCATCTCTGCTCGGGTTCATTCTTCAGCTGTCCGCCCTAGCCCGTCTCGAACCATACGGTATATTCGCCCTATGGCATTGGAGAAACTCAACACGGCTGGGATAAGACAACCAGGGAAGTATCAAGTAGGAGTCACAGAAGGAAGGGATCAAACGAAGAGCGCTGTTGGTGATTAGAAGTCGCAGAGACGTGTGTAGAGATCCTGATCTGAGGAGAAGCATGATGATGAGTACGGCCTGGGCCTTGGGCAGAGATCAAGTTTTAGGGCCTAATGTCAGTTTCAACGACGAAATCGACATGATGTAATCCCAGTTGTTGCGGCTTGTGGACAATAGTTTACAGGGGTAGTTGGGGCGACCTAAACTTAGACCGGAGCATATTTTGCAATAACCACCCATATGGCTAAACCTGAGGATGTACGTGAAAATGAAGTCCACTGCACTGCAGGCGCCAATGCAACATCAACACGATGACCCTAAAAAGCTGTGCACCCCACCGAATATTTCCAGTCGAGCTTCGAGGGGCGAGCGTTGGCTACGGAGCTCGTGCTAGATTTTTGGAGCTGAGCTTTAACAACAACGGATGCGGAGTGACTTCCAGTCCAAAAGTACGGATACATGGCAGCCTTCGGACTTCCTCCATGTATCACGTCAAGGGCATGTTTCTTCATGCCGAGTTCGAGCGGCTTCCTTTTTGCGTGGAGTTATGTGCATTAAACATACATACATACATACATACAAACATACATACATGCGTACATACATACACATACAAACATACATACATAC